TGGTGGCGGTGGTGGTGGTGGCAGTGGCGGCGGCGGCGGTGTTGGTCGCGTCGTCATGGTGGTGGCGGTAGTCGTGGTCGCCATCATCGTCGACGTAATGGTGAATACGTGGTCGTCGTGGGTGGTGGTGGTGGTGGAGGTTTGGTGGTGGTGAAGATTTGGTGGAGGTGGAGGTGGTGGTGGTGATGGTTCTGGTGGTAGTGGTTTGTGTGTTGGTGTGGTTCGGGAGTTGGTGGTTAGGGTGTTGGTGGTTCGGGTGTTGGTGGTTCGGGTGTTGGTGGTTCGGGTGTTGGTAGTTCGGGTGTTGGTGGTTAGGGTGTTGGCGGTTAGGGTGTTGGTGGTTAGGGTGGTGGTGATGGTGATAGTGGTGGTGGTGGTGGTGGTGGTGGTGGTGGTGGTAGTGGTGGCCGTCGTCGTCGTGGTGGCGGAAGTCGTCGTCAACGTAATGGCGAATACGCGGGAGTGAATACGTGGTGGTCGTGGAGGGAGGGGGTGTTCGTTCGTGGCCGACGTCGTGGTTGGCTGTGCCCAAACCACGTGACTTTGCGGATAAAAATAATACGGGGTCCCATATGGGGACCCCCTGATATTTGAGCGACGGGATGCAAATATACACACAAATATACACATAGGTGCTGTACCCCTAAACCACAAGAGGGTGGTAGGAATCAAAACTTGATAAAATCCCAAAAGAATCATGACCGTCCTGATTTTTGGGGGGATCCTATAATATTCCTATTCCTACCACCCTTCTTGGTGTAGGGGGTACAGCGCCTACGTGGCGCCACAGAAAATGCCACACACTCATACTCTCCTTGTCGATTGCCATCCTCCACACGTTGAAGAACCTCATCCTCATCGGGACGGCCCTGCCTGAGTAGCCGAGGGCTTTGCATATCGTGATTTTTACCGCAAATAGTGTTATTTAACGTCAACGACAAATTAAACCGGCAATAAACACACTGACACTATAAGCACGAAGTTAAAAGTTTCCCGTCCCGTCACTTTAGCCGGGGTCAGACGTGGCGTCGGGCTGGGCCCCAGGTTTTAGCATGCGACAGAAAGAGAAAACGAGATAAAAAGAGAGGGAGGAGGGGCGTGTTTGTGTGTTACGTTTCCAGGCGAGTGTGCACCGACCTGAAACGGGCCCATCTCCCCACCACCTTAACCTCTCCTCGTATCTCTCTCTCTCTCCCTCCCCCAAAGTCAGGCCTCCCTCTCACCACTCACGTATGCGTAAAACACCGCTTGCCCGCGCGCCCTGATGCTCGGGCGCGCGCTTGTACACGCAGGGAGGGAGAGGGAGGGGGAGAGAGAGAGAGAGAGAGAGAGAGAGAGAGAGAGAGAGAGAG